TGTGGAGTGCTTATATAAGGTGTGATTTCTTTCAATAAAGTTGAAGCTTGCTCTATCACTCACATGGAATCGGCTGCTTGCTTCCTCCGCCCGCCATATTGGCGCACCGAACAGGGTTACCCGAACTCTGCTTTTCCACCAAACGAAACCCGGGAAGCGGCGGAACGGATTTCATAGCAGGAAGGCGATAAGGTCTCTGCCTGGTGCAGTAGATGTGTGTCGTCTCCTGAAGCACCGGGATTTGTAAGTCTGACATCGGAGCAGCGGATCCACAATATTGCTTCAGGGGATACTGCGAACCGAGGGGGCTACAAAGGAATAGGCCGGTTTGGTATAACCAGGAAAGGCCGTAAGGAATCATAAACTGAAGGCTGAATTTGGGGAAACCTAGGAAAAGCCAGCACTGGTCGTTAGCTACTGATCGGATATTACGGAAGGTCGTCAAGCTACGATACAGGAAAGGAATTAAAATAAGTCTACCCGGGCAGGAACAAGGAATAAGAGGTAGCCCTCTTTTTTTGCTTTTTAGAAAAGCTGGGAGTAAGTCCGATAAAAACCTTAGCCGTGCTGATTGGTCTGGGCAAGGCTAAGGGACACTTTAAAGAGCCAAATTTATTGTTTGAAGAAGCAGAATGGTGTGATAATCTTTTAGACCCAGATGCTGTAAATCCTGAAAAAGAATCTGGACTGTCTGGTCTGTGTCTTCCCTTGACTGGAGATGATCCGGTTAAAGTGAGGCAAAAAATAAACAAACGTAAAAGTGAGGTGAGAAAACCTCGACGCAAGGGAATATGGACATGGCAAGAAAAATTCTTCCTCCTGTAAGCTATGAGCCATCAGCCACGTTGGCAAGAACGGCATTTTTCTGTTAATAAAGATTTAGAGAAAAGCATTAATAAGGACAGGCTGCAAAACCTCAGACGACAACAGCTGTACTGGAGGCGATGGCTCAGGGATATCGACTGGCCCCGTAAAAATTGGCTAACACTTTTATAGAAAAAAACGGCATTCACGCCGGCACAGCACTCTACCTGGAAAACCGAGGTGTAGATCTCCGTGCTCAGCGTTCGGAGATGGCGGTGGCGGCCCGGGGCCTCCCTCGACCCCCCCACCGCGGAGCGGCCGCCTGCGGCTGAGCCCGGCACTGCGCTCTGGGCACCCCCCGCCAAAAGCGGCAGGGTTACGCAGCACAGGCTTTATGTGTCCTTAACGGAGTCCTCGTGTTGGTAATATTTGTCACTTTGTGCTGTGAGTAATAAGTGTCAGGAGCTCCTTTGTGCAGGTGTGCGAGTGTGTGTGTGTGTGAGACGCGGCCGCTGCAGCTGCGGAGTTCTCCGGCCAGGGGAGCGGCCGGCGAGGAACGACAGGGTCCTAGTGCCCGCCCGCTGGGCCATCGGTGCTGCGGGTGGTTTGGGCTCAGGGTTCTCAGTGTCACAGGTGAAATACCTCCTCTAACGGGAGGCAGTAATTCTGTGTTGATTGTTGTTTGAATTTAGGTGCGTACTCTGCGGGGGAGTGCATCTCTGAACCATCTGCCTGATGGAAATATTGTTTAAAAGAAAAAAAAAATAGAAAAAACAAAAAAGAAAGAAAAAAAATCATCTGCATCCTTACACGGGTTGTTTGTTTTACCAGGGGGTGTAGATGCTGATTATGAAGAGAAAAATCAAAATTATGGTCTGTACCCCTGTGTTCTGTAACCAAAATGTAAAAAAAAAATATTCAGCTTGTTAATTTTACTGTGGCTTCCTTTAATGTTATGCCAAGAAGCCGCAATTACTCAGGATTTGGTTCACCAGGCACTCCTTAAATACATTTGGACTTAAACGTGACACAAGGTTAACTTCTGGTAAAATGCACTCTCATTAAAGCTAAAAAAAA